TCAAGTACGCACGATAAGAATTCCAAGAATGGGAAGTTTTCCTAAAGGTTCTGCAGCCTCTCGAGGATAAATACAGACGTCTCCGTACCAATCCGCGAGACTCTACTAAACCCGCTCATGACTCGTGAGACCTAGTAACCTAGGCTCTGATACCAACTTGTCACGACCCAGTTCCATACCCGGCCGTGATGGCGCCTCTCGTGAAGACAAGGCCAGCCGACTAACCCAAATCCTTTCACTAACAATTATTAAACATAAATGAATAAAAGATACAACTTAATGCATTAGAAACTGATAATTACTACCCGACCGGGGTGTCACAAGTCACGAGCATCTAAGGAAACCTTAACACAACTACATGCCAATAAATATATATAAGTAAAATTTCTGGAAAACAAAAGACAACATCCAGTGCCGCGAACGCTGGCGGTCACCTTGCTCAGCTACAATAACAATACCTTCAATCCGCTAATAACCCGCTACCGGGTGAACGATACCTGCAACTGCACGCGAGGTGCAGGGAGTAAAGTGAGTACTTCCAACTCAGTGAGTAATAAGAGTAAATAATAACTGAGAGGCAAGAAATCACGTAAGAGCACTCCATCATGCTATATAGGACAGTACAACCCTTTGAGAAAACAATAAAACCGTGAAAAATCCTTTAGAAAATATCTGGCTCAGTTTAAAAACCTCTTTTGAAAATATCCTTTTCCAACATTCAAGCAAATGAATGCGTAATCAGATAGTGCAAGTCCGCACAAAAGTCAGCCCCTCGGGCACAGCACTTCATCAACAAATAACACCAAGGTATCTGGTAAACAGTGCAAGAAGTAGCATGGATGCCAATGATATGAGAGTGTTGAATGTCATGACACGTAGTACAAACAGGAACCAATGCATGAATGCAATGCAATGCACATGACCGCTGCGGCGTGCAGCCCGATCCATTTGGGTACCTGCGCTCACTGTGGGGGTTCAGACTCCGGAGGGGCTCCTACAGCCCAAGCGCAATATCAATATAACACCGCTGCGGTGTGCAGCCCGAGCCATCCATATATCTAGAAATCACTATAACACTGTTGCGGCGCACAGCCCGATCCATGCTCAGTCCAGAAATGCACATAAGCCCCTTGGGCAATAATAAAATAGCAGTTCTCAGTTCAAAACGTCAGTAAAATATCATTTAAGTTTTCAAATCATGAAAAATGGCTGAATTTGCAACACATTATTAAAACCCTGGACCGAGATCAAATAACATGCAAAGTAATGCAAAAACAGTGATATCAATCCCTGAAGGAATCAAATAATCGGCACGAAGCCCAAAACATGGCAATCAGCCCAAATCATGATGATAACAAGTAGTTTCAGTCACAAACGTAGTAATTTCATCAATCGGGACGGACCGAGTCACAATTCCCAATGGTGCTCTACCCCACGCTCATATCCGGCATGCAAGTCACCTCAATATAACACTATGATGTGCAAATCCGAGGTTTCAAACCCTAAGGATATCATTTACAAGTATTACTCACCTCGAACCGGCAAAATCTCAAGCCCGCGACGCCTTTGCCCCTCAAATCGGTCTCCACGCGCGTCGAATCTAACCAAAATCAGAGCGAATGCATCACAATATGCTAAGGGAACAATACCCAATCGAAAACAATCGAAGAATAGCAAAAATCTCGAATCTAGCAAAACCCGAGCCCCAGGCCCGCTTCTCGAAAAATTACAAAATTCATATTACCGGATTCCTCGTCTCGCCACGAGTCCATACATACCAAGAACTCCCAAATCTGAGCTCAAATGACCTATCAAATCCCAATTTGAAATATCAAAAACTCAAGCCCTAGCTTTACCCCTTTTAATGAATTTCAACCAATTTCCATGTTAAATTTAACAAAATCTCGAGTATTTAGGCCAAGGAACTTACCTCTAATCATTCCTCCTTGAATCCCTCTTCAAAATCGCCTCAAAGCTCTCAAAGCTCGCTCAAAAATGGAGGAAAATAATACCTAGCTCGCGGAGGAAATATTTAATAATCAGCCTAGCACTTTCACTTATGCGGTCCCCATCCTGCTTCTGCGGAAATCCCACTCTCGAACCAAACCGCTTCTGCGGTCACAACATCGCATAAGCGATTCCGCTTCTGCGGCTACACTATCGCTTCTGCGGAACCACCGCCCAGGCCTCTTCAATGCTTCTGTGGTAAATCCATCGCTTAAGCGTGTCCGCTTCTGCGGTCCAAGACTCGCAGAAGCGAATATACCAGCTGCAGCAGGCTTCAGCAATATGCAAATTCCAAAACTCTCCGTTTAACCATCCGAACTCACCCCGAGGCCCCCGGGACCTCAACCAAAAGTACCAATACATCCTAAAACATCATTCAAACTTGTTCCAATTATCAAAACACGTCAAACAACGCTAAAACCATCAAATTACATCAAATCCAAGCCTAAATTCTTTAAAAACTTCCGAAACACGCATTCGATCAAAAACCCGATCAAACGACGTCCGAATGACCTGAAGTTTTGCACACATATCCAAAATCACCTAACGAAGCTACAGCAACTCTCGGAATTCCATTCCGACCCTCGGATCAAAATCTCACCCATCAACCGGAATTCGCCAAAATACTAACTTCGCCAATTCAAGCCTAATTCTACACCGGACCTCCGAAATCAATTCCGATCACACTCCTAAGTCACAAACCATCTACCGAAGCTAACCGAAACACCGAAAATCACATCCGAGCCCTCTAACTCCTAAGTCAACGTCCGGTTGACTTTTCCAACTTAAGCCTTCTTAAAAGAGACTAAGTGTCTCATTTTCTACCAAAACCAATCCAATTCAACTATGACACACCAAATACTGATAATGAAACATGAAGATGCATAAAATGGGGGAAACGGAGCGGTAACTCATGAGATGACGGGTCGGGTCGTCACAATAAATCATCTTAATTTGACAGTGTAGAAATTTTGACATTGTTAAGAGCACAAAATTTGTCCTCCCTCAAATTGATGATGTTATGCTTTTTGTGCGGGTCGGAAATTATTCCATAAGGAATTCGCTACTTTTAGGACCGTTATAATTACACCCGCCATTTATCGGGGCTTTGATCGTCGGCTCCCGTGTTATCAGGTCACCGATATGCAGAGACGTATCCAAGTTGAGGGATATGGGTTCACGTGAATCCATACTCCTCTTCCTAAACCATGTATATCAATATAATTTCAAAAAGAATATAATTTTGAACCTATAATTTCAGAAGTGTAGTGGGTTCATGGTAAGAGATTAAAGTTAAATCTAGATCCACCTTTTTACAATAGTGCACACATCCTTTTGAAATCCTAAATCCGCCTCTATCAATATGAGATTAATTGAGCAACCCAACATAAAGAGTAGCTGGATAGGAAGATAGGCTAGACGGAGTAGTAGCTGGTTTAGAATATACAGAAGTTAAACACTTAAACTTAATAAAATAACTAGGGTATGGACCATACATAGGAAAAACAAGACATGAGAGAAATAGAAAGAGAACAAATGAAAGGAAGCTTCAAAGAAGGAGAAGTATTAGCAAAAGTTTCGTCGTGACAGTTAACGTCTAGCTAAGTCACAAGTCACCTCCACAATTTCCAACTCTTATGAACCTTCCTAGAAACCCTCTTTTCAGAATAAATTAAAAATGATCTTCTCCAATAAATCAGTGGATATAAGTTACTTATCAGAAACGTATATGATGCTGTTGACAACTTCAAAACAACTTCAAGTACTTCATCCTTTCTTATTCATTCGGTTGCGGAGCTAGAATTTTTATGATGAGTGTTAAAATAAAGGGCAGTCCGGTGCATAAGGCATCTCACGTTCACGCAGAGTTCGGAAAAGGGCCGTACCCAAAAGGGTGTGTTGTAGACAGCCTAACCTAATGCAAGCATTAGTGGATGCTTCCACTAAAATATAAATATTAAATACGTGAAAAAACTAAGGGGATTCAACATATAAAATATATACATAAAAAGAAAAAATTTACGTACTTATATAGTATAATTTTCCGATGAAGAGGTTATAGTTTTGTCATCCCCAAGAATTCTAGTGGGATGAATAATTAGATGTTTTGTCTCGAATCTTGAAAAAAAAAGAATTTCTTGTAAGGAAGTATTTTTTTTCTTTAATGAATCTTACGCGACACGAATCTGAGTTAGTCGTAAACCTAATGTGGACCGGAATGGAAAACTCAAAGAAAAAAGTCTAAAGGTTATCATCATTAAGACAATTTGTCTACATTTTCTTGAGTTACAATAATCTTTAGAATTCCAGGATCTCTGTTAATTAGCTACTTATATAGGAAAATGGATAAAAAGATTATATTTTTATTAAAAAGCATTTGGAGATTTTCTTTCTTCTTTTTATTTTTTTTTTTGTGGGATCAACGTTATTCTTGCTTGGTAGAAGACTAGAAGCTGCTTTTTGCAAGTACATTTATGTAATTTCAGAAATAGGAAAATTTCATACAAGGAACTATAGAAGAAAGATAGTGTAAACAGCTAATGCCAGTATACCACCCCCTAAGGTTGCGTGAGATGGTAAATACCTTTTCATCCTTAACAAAGATTTAGGTTTCGAGTCTTGAAAATGAAGTCGCCTTTAATAAGAAATACTTTACTCCCAAAGTGGTACTTCTCAACACAATAGAACACCAAAAAACCTTCTAAATAGTACTCCCTCCGTTTCAATTTATGTGAATCTATTTTCTTTTTAGTCTGTGCCAAAAAAATGATTACTTTCGATATTTGGAAACAATTTACCTTTATGCAATAATTTTTAGCTACACAAATATCTGCCTCATTTTACACCACAAGTTCAAAAGTCTTCTTTTTTTTCCTGAAATTCCGTGCCCAATCAAATAGGTTCACCTAAATTGAAGGGGATGGAGTATTAAATAAAAATAGCCCTCAGTAGTTTACAAATTCGAGGCCCTACCCAAACCATCCATTCAGAAGGTACCATTTGATTTAATATGGACCATAGGCTACATAGTCCATCCCCACTCTCTTCTCTTTTTCCTACCTTCCAAAATTAATGATCAAATCCTTGCCAGTTGACAATGTAACAGTACTCATACTTCCACAATATTCACGAAAATACTTACTGTTAGGAACACTATAAATAGAGTTTCCAACTTTCCTTGTGCCAAACAATACCTTTTATTCATACCATTGCTTTTTCTTCTTCTTCATTTTTTTTCAAAAAAAAAAACAATGGCAAGTAAAGTTGGTGAAGCAGCAACAGAATATCAAGACTTGTTACCTGTGATGGCAGAAAAATTGGACGTGGATACGTTTGTCGCGGAGCTATGTGGAGGATTCAGGCTACTAGCTGACCCGAAAAATGGCTTGATCACATCGGCGAGTTTACAGAAGAATTCGAAGCTTCTTGGAATGGAAGGCATGAGCAGAGAAGATGCAGAGGCTATGGTAAGAGAAGGAGATTTAGATGGAGATGGAGCACTAAATGAAACTGAATTTTGTATTCTAATGGTTAGACTTAGTCCAGAAATGATGCAAGATGCTGAGGCTTGGCTTGATAAGGCATTCCAAAAAGAGTTGGCACAATCCTCTTTTTGAGTTTGCTATAATCTTATTCTCATTTCCATCCCAAAATATGAAATGAAAAAAGATGTTGAAGAGCTAGCCTTCACTATCATATATGATGGATTGCTTCTCAATGGCTGTAATATATTATCATATATGTTGATTCTGTTATGTAATACCAAAAAAGAGATCAGATAATAGAAGGGGTGAATCACCCAAAATTAATGCAGGTTCAGATTTGGTAATTATAAGTTTCTAATGTTGTAAGTTGTAACTGAGATGAAAAGATTATATCAATTCTCAAGACGATAATATACCCTAAAATGTGCTCCCAAACTCCTTTTTTTTATAACTGGTGTCCAGCCAATTTATACACACTTCAACTGTTTCATCGGATTGCCGCGCATAGGTGGAGTGGGTAAATCTGCCTCCAAAAGCTTAAGCAAATACAAAGAAATCGCCTAATATTTTCTCTATCGAGGTATAGATCTTAGTGTCTCATAATGTTCATCCACTTTTCATTGACCACTAAGTGAAATTTCCATTTCTAGTTGTCCCCTGCTCTCCCCCCTCCCACTAAGTAGGAAATACTACTTAGCATGGAATAATATACTGTACTGTCGTGGGGTTTAGGACCCTAGTATCAAGCTATACCAAATTTTCCTAAACTACAAAGCTCGATGCACTACACTAAGCTCCCGCTTAGAGTTTGCATGATAGTAATAAAAGTAAATCATAGGGAAGAAAAGAAAGATTTGGTTAGGTAAGTTTTGGAGGAGTGAGCAAAGTCAGCTACTTTGCCATCTCATCTCGCAAACTGCTATAGGTTGAGGTGACAAATCAGAAATAGAAGACAAGGTTGAGTAATCCAGAACTGAAGAGCCAAGAATACTTAATTTTTCAAATTTTGTCAAGGTTAGACTTGAAGGGCACACAGGCATTCAGTTGTTACTGGTTCTGTTAGGCTATTTAGTGCCCTGTAAGATTCAATGTGACTTCGACAAATGCAAAAACTAAAAAGAGCACCTTCTCATTTGCTTTGTGTTCTTGAGTTTATTATCATGTGAAGCCTATTAGAAATGTGCAACTCTGGTAATAACTTCTTATGGCTATATGAGGTAATGTCAAATGGTCTCAACATGCTCAAGCAATGAGTCGACCAGGCAATGGTTTCTGATAGCTAAATTCACAAGCCACAATCCACAAAGTTAACCCAACAAAGCATTTACACTATGACAGCACAAGCTTTCCCAGATTAAGATATGACTCAAGTTCTCGACCTTCGAACAGGAGACCTGCTGAAAAATACAAAGATAAAATGTGAACAAGTGTCTCCTACTTGCATCAAGTAAGAAATGTTGACAGTTAAAAATCAAATAAAACAAAAGGAAAGTTTTTTTTTACCTGCGATACCTTCCATAATCTGGACTATTGTATCTGTCATAAGATGGACCATTACGAACAGGACTATGAGGTCGGCCATAATCTGGACTAGGTCGGCCCCTACGATACATCGGGCTTGGTGACCTCCGATAAGGGCTATCCCTTTGCCTGCCATAATCTCTTCTAGGGCTGTTATATCTGTCCCCTCTCTCATCGTCATCCTTCAAAGCATACTCTACAGAAACCACTCTGTCCAAGATCTTACTGCAAAATGTATTAGCAACTCACTTCTTATCAGGAAACAAACAGATAAGATATTGCAACCATAAGAGTAGAATGAAATATCTTACTAACCTCATGTGTGTACACTCCAAAGCTCTTGTGGCATCCTCCTGATTATCAAACTGCACAAACGCAAAATTGCGACGTATGCGAACATGAAGGACATTGCCGTACGGTTCAAAGTGTCTTTCTATGTCTCGGGTTCTAGTACAAGTAGGGTCAAAGTTTATGACAAACAATGTTTTGGTTGGTCTCTGGTTTCCACCAGACTTAGGGCCATCACGGTGCCTACCACGTTCACCCTGTCAATCACAGTCGCCATAATTAATAAGATGACAATTATCAACAAATCGTATTTCCTTTCGGGGGAGGAAATGTCTAACGGATTGTATTTCTCAGATTTTGGGAAAGATGAAGACAGAAACATTACTTTTGCCCATTCGACTGATAGACGGCGCCTTTCATACCCAAATGGCATGTTGTCAGTCCCACGGATGGCATCTGCTGCATCTCTCTCATCCTCAAAGTAGACAAAAGCAAACCCTGTAGTTGTAAAGAGAGTTCATTATAAGGTCGAAAGAACAGTAAGATATGGTCTCTAAAGAATTTTCGGTGAAGTATACATCAGCTAAATCAAAGTTCTCATCTCCTTCAGAAATTAAATATCGTACAACACCTGCAAGTATGTGAGGGCTTGAGGAAATTAAGGAGGTAGAAGCCTTGCATGAACTAGATCATGATGATGATGATGATGGTGATGGTCAAGATGAAGGCTTATTAAAGGTTTAAAGTCAAGTCTGAGTAGACATTGCTAAGCATGCATCACCAATTTCACAGCACGATTTGAAAATTGGTAGGCATGGCATGATATAATTCATTGATCCTCTTATTAGTAGTGGTAGGCATGGCATGATGAACCGACTGATCCCACCATGATCATTCTTGTGATAAGCCAACATGAGCATCGAGTAAGTGAATGACAGAAGATCGATGTAAGAAATGCAGGACAATTCCATCAGTGAGAAGGGGGGAGAGCAGGCAGGCAGATAGGTTTCCTTGCATTAGAAGTTTTTTTGGCACAGGAGTGTTGAGCCATGATAGAAGCTCTTTTTCCTTAGTAGATGTGCCTGCGGCAAAATAAACACTTGAATGCGGAGATCTTCTCCAAACGAAATATTCGGTTCCACATTATGTCTTGACAAGTCACATGCATCATACGTACATGCTACACACATATAGTCATATAGCTAGGTAATTTTGTTTAATCAAAATACTTATTGTTAACTATCCCAAGAGGGAAAAGGATGTAACTTATAATGCACATCAAATAAGAAAATACTTTCCAAAGCGGAATGATTAAACAAGATATGGATTAGATAAGATCCCAAAAACATAACAGGTTAACACTATCAGACAGGTATACAAAAACTTTCCAACAAATGAAAAAAAAAACCTAAAGTTCATAATAATGTTGAAAATGCAAATCACACAGTAACTATTCCTTAGAATGAAGTCATTAAAAAAAATTCTACTATTCTTTCTGTGCCAAGAATTGCGAGGACCATGATCTCAAAAGAAGTGCTTAAAAAGGCGGAGGCATATGGCAGGGTGTTTTAACTATCATCGGATAAGCCTAGGCCTCTCGAGCCCCATTACTTTCTAACTTATAAAATTTTCAAAAATAACTAACATATAAAAATATATAAAATATGAAAGTTAATGAAAATAAACTTGGAATTGCATATAACTCAGAAGAAGAACATGTAGAATAATTTATTTAACTATCTAGTCACAATAGCATATGCGCAGGAACTCCAAGTCACCAACTACTAATCATAGAAAACATTTCACACAAGTTGCAGCCGCATAGTTAAAATAAAATAAAATGAAGAAGTTATGTTCTGTCTAGATTCTAGAATATGCAATCCAAGGCACGCGTAGAAGACCCCTACCCAACACATAAAGCACGCAAGGGGAAAACACACCATCTACATAGCATTATCTCCATGAGAGTTAAACCCCAACTGGTCACCTCAAGACCAGTTCAGGAGAGTCACAACTTTGCCTTCAAAAAACGATCAAAAGAAAATCTAAGAGAGGTTCAGCAATTGCCCATTGAGTAGCCAAAATCCCAAAATAACACAAGGACAATAAGTAAGCAAACCCCAATTCTACCATAACTAGTACTACTATGCCTCGGTCCCAAACAAGTTGGGGTCCGCTATACTGACCGCAAATTCCATTTAAACTCATCTTATACTACAAAAAAGTACTACTAGAAGTTAAGTATATTTTCTAAAAACGTATAAATATCTTAAAGGCTGAACACTAAAAAAGAGGGGAATAAGCCATACCAGATTTCATGTCAACGCGCTCTATTCTTCCATACTTGGAGAAAAACCGTTCCAGTTCTGATTGGCGAGTATCATACTCAAAGTTCCCAACGAAAATAGGCCTCATCTTTACCACCCGTACAACCTAAAAGAACTCAACGAATAATTTATTCAAGAATCTGATCAAACAGTTGATACCAACATAGTAAAACAACACATATTAACACCAGTTTGCGAAATTATTTTTATAGTAAACCCTAGTTCTTCATATACTTATATTCTTCCTATCTTAAACCCTAATTTCAAATGACAACTTATTGCAACGAAATGGGCAAATAGAGCTGAAAATCGATTATTTTATCCTGCGTTTTTAACAATCAAAAGACCCTACATTACGATAATCTTTTACCAGAAAACCAAAAAAAATAGCCAAAGTTTTTCTGTACGTAAAAGCCTTAAATTACAATAATTTAAAGTATAGCACCGGGTAAAGAAAGAACATTACCTTTTTTTACGAACAAGGACTGGAAAACCCTAGAAACCAAACAAACGTGTTAGAATAGGACGGCGTGAGTTTAAATACTGGATTTTGCACATTTTGGCCCATTTCTTAATTAGACTGTATGGGCCGGATCGTCAAAGGGAAGGGGGTTGAATCGGCCCTAATCGTAGTATTAATCCGTGCAGTTTTTTTAATCGGGATTTTTTTATTTCTATACACTATTTGACACTTTATTACCCTTAATTTTCATGTTTAGTTAATTACCCGGCATAAACAAGTTTTGTTTATAAAATATATACAATCCATCTTCAAAGGCTCCCAGATCCATTATTATGCCTTCAATCAAGGGATTTAGTTGCACCATTTTTCTTCTTTTTCTCCTCTTCTGTTTTCTTATTTTTCTTTCGCCTTATTTTTCTTCCGCCAGGGATAAAACCATGTTCTAACTATTAAACCAAATTTAATGCTAACTATTACGGAAAGGCGATAACAGGCCAAATAGATCATTGATTTATGTTTGAAGGCAACGAGCAGAAACGTCATATTTCAAATGATATTTTTAGGTAATTCCACCTGTTTAATATCAAAAGAGTTCCACACTTACCATTTATCAACAACTGCATCATATGACCGTATAAGAATTAAGATAGGACGTCTAATACAATAGCAAAGGATTTCAGTAACTTTGATGTAGTCTCAGTTACAGCCACTGGTCAACGCAAACTCAAATTAACTCGAAAGTAAAACGGATATCGTCGGGTCAAGGAAAATTCGCTCTTTCCACAGTCGTATCTGAAATTTCATGGTTGTTGAAAGTAACCAAACTCCCGTTAGCAACTTCATATTTCATACAAATATAGGTTTCACATATAATGCATAAGAGGTGCTTTCTCTCCAGATGGAGGTGCTTTTCTAATTATCTCTTTTATATGATATGGAGATTTTTCCAGCTATTTTCTGTTGGATCACACTCAATACTTACAGTATACACTTATTTACAATTAATTTACAATTTATCTATAACTTTCACACATTATTTCTACTAGTTAAATACAATTACGATAACATACAACTTAAATATAAATTTTATACAATATGTCTTTTGTATATTTTGTATATGATTTATACATAGTAAAATAAATTTCATACAACTAATTATATATTATACAACTTATCTACAATTTTCATACATTATTTCTACCCAGTTATATACAACTACAATATCATACAACTTAAATACAATTTTTATACAATATTGTTCAACTTTCATATATATATATATATATATATAAACAACAGAATATAATTTTTCTATAATTTTACTATAACTTTACTACAATTTCTGCAGTATAATGTATGTCACGTCTTCTTCTTCTTCTTCTTCTTCTTCTTCTTCTTCTTCTTCTTCTTCTTCTTCTAGTTTCAACCTAAAATTCAGCCAAAATAAAGTCTAATCTTCACCAAAACACCCTCAAAATTGAGATATAAACTCCAAACCATCTTCCCAATTGTTTGCAACAACACTCAATCCAAATAAATAATGGTTTTTAAAAACCCAAATTCGAATTCAAAGCTTCAAAGCTTTAAATGGCTGTCAATGGTGGAATTGCTGCTCTTTCTTCCTTTGCTTTACATTACTGAAATTAGGGATTGAGAGATAGAGAGAGACGTAGAGAGAATCCCAATTCTTTGCAACAACATCCAATTCAAACAAATAATATTTTTTGAAAACCCAAATTCGAATTCAAAGCTTCAAAGCTTTTTTACTGTGTATAACTCAGATACAAAATATACAAAAGACATATTGTATAAATTTTGTATTTAAGTTGTATGTTATTGTAGTTGTATTTAACTGTGTAGAAATAATTTGTGAAAGTTGTAGATAAGTTGTATAATATATAATTAGTTGTATGAAATTTATTTTTACTATGTATAAATCAGATACAAAATATACAAAAGATATATTTTATAAAATTGTATAAAAATTGTTTGTGTAATAAGGAATAGTGTCAAGAGCAGAGAAGTGGTTGAATCTGAAGCCATTTTCATCTATTTTCTTATAAAATTGAAACTTCTTTTGTAAACTTTTAAAAGGGTGTATTGGTATTGATTTTTGACTTGTTTATTTATAGAGAAAATATGAAGATGTGAACAGACTAATTTTAAGTGTGAAATTGAGGCGCTGCAATGAAGAGTATGTTGATAAATTAGGCCTTTTCGGTAATATTTCTACACATTTTAACTTCCTCTGAAATTTTATGATCATGCGAATCACATTTATCAGAACTGAGAATTATTTTAATCAATAGGGTTTTGATCAAACTGCTTAACAAACTTGTCGATTTGACCGAGAAAGCTAAATTAGGATTTTGGATATGATTAATTTGGATACAAAGGAAGTAAAAAGTTTCGACATAATGTGATATTGAACTTTTGGCAAAGTCAAAAAGGTAATAAGAAAGATTGAAGGGGAGAGCAAATAGTAAAAATTAGAAAATTGAAATAAAAAGTAACACCAAAGAGAAAGCTAAATTGGGAGTTTTGACATGGTTAATCTGTTTGACATAATGTGATATTGAACTTTTGAAAATGTCAAAAAAAAAAGGAAATAAGGAAGATGAAGGGAAGAGCAAAAGGTAAAAAGTAAAAAATTGAAAAAAAAATTGGGTAAGATCCACCGAACTGTGACATATGAGTGGAAACATAAGAAAGGAGAGGAGGAGAAAAAAAAGGAAAAGGGTGTAACTAAATCCCTTAATTGAAGGCACTAATAATGGATTGAGAGTCTTTTAAGGTGGAATGTATATATTTTGTAAACAAAACTTGTGTAGGTAGGGTAATTTACTAAACATGAACATTTAAGGTAATAAAATTTCAAATAATGTATAGGAATGAAAAAATCCCTATTTTTTAACATTCTGATACCAAGTCTGAACTTACAATTTTAGCCCACTATTGTAAATGTTCAGGAACTTAAAATAAAGCCCAAACCAAGATCATCATTAGTGAAATTCAAACATTAGTGAAATAGCACCAGAAATTAAATTAAATAACATAAATTGGAACGGTAAAGCAAGTGCATATTGATTTGACGTTAAAATCCAAAAAGCTTATTCCGGAAAGCTCATCATTATCTTTGGAAAATTTACCTAATTATACTATAATAGAAATCTATCTACCATTTTTATTAAGGTTTGTACTTAATTACATTTCATCTATATTTACTATTGTACAAAACCATGAAAAAGAAGAAAATAGAAGATTCTTTAAATTTAGAAACTTTTATTAACATATTACTTTATTTAATATTTTTGTTTACTACTTTCTTTTTATAATATAATAGAAGATATATATTTTGTTACTCTTGAAATATTTTTATTTTAAATTTTATCCTATTATTCTTAATAATATTATCTGAAATTTAATGAATAAAATATTTATTAAATTAATGAGACTTACATAGGCATCAAATAACTTTTTTGTTATGTAATTTTTAATTATAGTATCCAATATTTAATGTAATTGCATTTTTATTAGAAAGTTTTATTAGTATATTATTTTGTTTAATATTTTTGTCTACCACTTTCATTTTGTAATATAATATATATATATATGTATATATATATATGTATATATATATTTGCTCTTCCATAGTAGGCTCGCTCATAGGCGCTCGGCCACAGCAGGCTCGGTGTATCTTGCCATCTGATTCTCTTAAATGTTGAAGGCTTTTCCTTTTAATTTATTGCCACCTAATAAGGAATCACTCTTAGTCATTTCTTTAGGGTGTGGCTTACTGCCACGTGGGGATGGGGTGGGATATTTAATTTTTATCCACCTATTAGGTAATTAGGTAATGTCTTGTTACCGTGTAATTAACCAATTACCCGTAAAATTAAGAATTGTCTCAAATTACTTAAAATTCTAATTATTTTAATATACTTTATACATCATATTATCACGGTCATATGCTTCCTTGTATGGTACTAGTCCATAGGTATCAGGTATTATAGCCCGGACCGTATTTAATCCTAAATCGACAACCTTCGACGAAACTCATTTGCTTTAATTCATGTACCCTTTCCTTCATGGCACATACTTATGCTTGTCATAAATAGCATAAATATGCTAACCTCCAGATAGTCTCATCCCCGAGTCTACGTCAATTAACTGAAGACTAAATTTTAATGTACGAAAAATGCGAGATGTAACACTTCCCAAAATACATCACACCTTTCATGGGTAAAACTCTTAGTAGAACCACCTTACCCATCATGAATGCCATATCAAGAGCCCTCATATCAGCATAAATCTTCTACCTGGACTATGCTATACGAAGTCGAACCTGAGTCAACTTCACCTTCTCCAAGGCATCTCGAGCCAAATCAATGCCCACCAACCTAGCCTCCCCGGGCTCATACCAACCAATCAGTGAATGATATTGCTTCCCATACAAGGCCTCATAAGGATCCATCTGGATGCTTAACTATTAGTAGTTATTGTGGGCAAACTCTGCAAGCGGTAAAAATGGTTCCCATGAACCCCTATAATGACTGGAATGAATAATCTAATGAAATCTCAAGTAAGGCATGTTGGTTAATCTCCCTTTATAGAATCGGAATCCATGAGTTCTTCGTAAGCTCCAAATGTGGTTTGATTAATCTCTTTTCCTACGGTTTCAAATTACTTCTGATGATAGATTACCCTAAAAGCTTATGTACTTGAGTCATGTTCCAATTTCCCTTATCGTATTATGCTCCCTTAGTGGGAAAATGTTCAAATATGGTTTTTGTAACTAAAGCATATGATTTGAACCCATGTTTCAATCGTAAATCACCATGCTCTAATTTGTAAGTATTTCCAACATATTTTGAGTTCTTACATACTGATGAGTTGAAACTGTGTATTGCCCTTTGGGAGACGTATTTCAAGAATAAATGATGTATTACTCGTTTATGATTTTAACTTGTGCTTCGATTGCCGGTCATTTTTCTCCATTCTTTGGAAAGAAATCCGTTGTGTGTAAAGCCTTCATTACTAGTGAACTTAAAGTTAT